TCTTCCCCAATATAAACAATCTGATGTTCTTGAAAATATCGCGGTGCGCTAAAAGCCATGGCTTGGAGGGTCGCCAACTAACGAGATAAATTGGACACCACAGTCGGCCCAGCGTGTCTTGTTGTGTGAAATGGCTGTTAACGGGCTGAGAGCCAGGCTCAATGGCTGCTTCTTTATGTGGCTTTTATGGCGCTCCCAGTCGGGAGCCCACCTAGCGAGGCGTGCTGAATGATGGTCGCGCCAGTCTTCTGCGCCCTCCCCCAGCTCCGGCCTTCTTGACTTTTGTCTTGACACTGGGTCCCGGTGTGGGAGTGGGGAGAGAGTGGGGTAGATTATCCGCGAGTCTACTTTCACTATAATCCCGCGGGAGTCACCGCGTTGTTTCAGCCTGATGAGGCTCGCGGTGGACATCGTCAAAATCGACGGTCGAATTGTCGTTTTAGGTTAGGTAACAATAAAGTTGGTTTACCACCTGGTCAATTTCACTTTTATTAGTTTTATTTTATTTCAGTTTTTAGTCTACGTAGATACCATCAGCGTAAGATAAATATACTTAAATAAGTACTATATACTAGAATAAACCAACTAAGCTGAGCTAAACTTTACAAACCTAACTAAACTACACTAATACCAGGTTAGTTTATATATCCAAGGTTATGAACAGAGACTTCACGTATCTGGACAAAATTTTCTAACCCACTGAACCACCATTACTGCTCCTCTTTGCAGATATGAAAGGTTCCACTTGCCTGAGATGCTTTCAAATTTCACTTACCCCATCACCTATCGCTGTAGACTGAATTTTTCGTCTAGCCAGTACTGTAGAGAGTCGGTTTTCAGCAGCCAGTGAGGCGCTTTAAGGCGGAAGATTAGGGAGTCTCGATAGCAAAATGCCATGGAACTGTGAGCTCAGGATAGTCAAAGCTGCAAGACAAGGCCGGCTTTCTTGTTTGCATAGGCTTGCGCGTCTACCATATTTGCCTATACGCGTCGCATGGCAGATAAGGTCGGCGATCCGTTGCTAAACGTTCCACAATCGCTAGCAGAACTCGCTCGTCCGACTGTGCCTTGGGAGTCATTCTCGAACCCTGCAAATGAGCCCCAAGGCAGAGTATCTGGACCTTTAGAAGTAGACGACTCGATCGCTGGGACAATACGTTTATTC